ACCCACACGGGGAAAACCTCATTTGACCGTGGTTTCTAGGTTATTTTAACATTTATTTCAACACCCACATCCTGCCTCCCGAGTGACATTATCACTTTTTTTTTTTAAATCATGGATCTTATGCTTTTTTTTTTAAAAATTGATTTTGTTCTTTTAGTTGTCTGTTGCTTCATATGTCATTCTGATTGAATTAGTATATGGTTACAAATTTGGTCGACCTCTGTGGCTTGGGCTTTGCGAACGCGCTTCGTAATGCCGGGGTGTCAGGTTTTGATCCTAGCTGCGGGTCTTGCGCCTTGTGTTGGTTTCGACACTGCTATCAAGAAACCGACCGTCCAGGGGCAATGGCAAACTACTGGATGTAAAATTGCCTAGAAAAACCACAACAGCCACAAAAACAAAAGTGCTGGAGTTGGTTCTGCAACGTCCTGTAAAGAAAGTGCAACTAACTTCAAACTAAGACTGATCAATGGCGAATGCCTTTGCTACTAGGGTAGGAAACAGAAGGAAAGGGGAGTGGTGGTTGCCTTAAGCGTCTATATTGTTCTACATCTGCTTGGTAGGTAGTCAACTATCCACGTCTAGGTTTTGAGGTTTTGAACAACGGACTAACATCATGGTTAGTAATCCATAAGTGATCCGTTCTTCTTCTAACTCAAGTCTGAGTCCGAAGAAGCTCAGTACAGTGCACAGGCTCTGTAGCACCGTGAGGATCCTGAAATACTTTGGGTATATTTGTAACTCCAAATATTTCCCGGGCAGCGTCGTTAAGCTACTCTCTCCGATTTCCAACTGCCAAGGCATTTTTTACGTGCGCAAAAATGCACACAGGCGTCCGATCTCACTACCTAGAGACCAGGGGGAATTACTATAAGTTTAGGTCAACGTGACAAAATTCCAGCCCATACGGGGATCGAAACCGGAACCTCTAGCACTCGAGGCGGACATCATGCTTCGAGACCACGCAGTTCCCTCCATCCACGTCTAAGTAGATATGTATAATTACCGAGACACCCATACCACCCTAGTCTGAAACTGGGGCCATATAACATCCTGACACAAAAAAATGTCTATGAAGAATCCTAAAAAATATCTTGGCCATAGAATTTCACCCATAAAACACTAAATGAATCCTGATATACTTACCAAAACAGCTCTCACATTGATACCAAAGGGAAAGAGACATGGCAAACAGCACTGAAGATTGCACAGGACGTGAAATCATGGAAAAATCCTCTCTGAAACCTCACGTTTGAAAAGATGGAGATGGCTTGAACATGCTCGCAGAATGCCTTATGACGCTTTGGCAAGGATAGCTCTCCAGTGTGGACTAGATTAAGGGGGAGGGAGGGGAGTCGTGGATGACCTATTGTATCCTGGAGAATGATAGTAGAAAGGGCAATGAAGGGATGTATTTTATGGGTTACTATGTGTGACGTGACGCGTGGTTTAAATGTTTATGTTGTTGAGTAGGGATCTTCCTTTCAACACATTCTCTCCACTAGATAAACCGAACTAAAATCTGAGCTATGTTGCTCTCAGACAAAGTCCTGGATATCCAAGAAAACAGCCATATTGGCTCGTTAAGTATATTAACATTAGCTGAACTTGGTACCCACAAGAGAAGGCAAGGAATTTTAGATGTCTATCATACTTAATGTTAATGAATTATTAGACAGGGCAAGTGATTACTCCGTCATCTACCTTCTCCCGGTGTTATTATTAATAATTAAAGAATTATTATATTATTTGAGCCCCCACCAAATGTACTTCTCTCTATCAGTTTAGAAAACAGGTAAGATTGAATACACTTGGAATTTAACAAACGATGTAGTATAAAACTTGACATACAGCTTTATTTTCTAACAATCAGTTAATTGACATACCCAGTTTGTTGTGTTTACACAAACAGTGACTAGCTAAAGTTATGATAGTAATGGGTTGTTTCAGCGCGAGAACAACACCTGGGATTAGAGTGGTGTGATGAAGGTGATAAAGTATGAACAATTTATGAACATAACTTTCATAGAACCTCTGACAGCCGTGAGCACTGTCAAGCTCTTCCTCCTCTTCCAGCTTCTTCCCTGCTTGTTTCTCCTCCTCGCCCCCACCTCGTTCTCCACCTCGTTCCCAGCTGGCCAAGTCTAACACAATGTAGGCTACTTCATGGACTGATCGTCACATGGGCGCTGGGAACTTTTCCAGCAAATGCCGAACACGACTCAACCAGGGAGAAAGTACTTTTCAACGGTAGGTCTGAGTCTGTGGCCTGCTGGCGGCACTATGAGGTAAATCTACGATGCCTGCAGTATAAGTATTAATCTATTGTCCAAATTAAACTCCTCCCTTTCCTTAGTTTTTACCCAACCCTCAAGATGATGGCTTAAGCTCCTCCTCCGAAGTACCTATCAAATCAAATTGGCTAACCAGTGACCTGTCACTCACAGTGAACGGCCTACAGTACGACCTTGACCAAGATAAAACATTCCTAATTGCCAAACACCTGTTCTCTCTAGTCTTACACTGACGTGTGAAACTCCGACCTCCCGGCTCCACCATGTCTAGCGTCTACTCAATTCCCCTGTTCAAAAGGGCCCGCTCAGTCTCTACCGTCTGGTCAGGAGATAACATTCTGACACTGGCGTGAGAATAGAATTCCTAGCTACAGTGTAAGGTTTTAGGTAATATTACTCAAGGTTGGGTTGCTTTGTCTGGACTAAGGACTGGAAACATTTAAATCAATTTGGTTTAAAGTAATATGAGGGTAAAGAGCAGAGTAAATATAATCCTCTCTATTTAGAACCAGAAGAACTTATTACAAGTACTAACTTCTGGAATCACTGAGATCGTCTCGTGACACTATGGACAGACGATCAGAACATGACACAATGTAAATCTCTTTGTGAATGTTTCATGTGTGCTTACAACGTCACAAGTATAATGTAAATAGCCATCGAATGTCCTGGAAAGTAAGGGACACCAAATAGATACAGAGCTTCGAATGTCCTGGAAAGTAAAGGACACCAAATAGATACTGAGCTTCGAATGTCCTGGAAAGTAAAGGTCGCCAGATAGATACTGAGCTTCGAATCTCATGCAAAGTAAACGCTACCAGAAAGATATTGAGCAGCCATAAAAAATCCTGGAAAGTAAATTCAAAGCACATCATCCATGGCGTGTTGACTGGTCGATACAAAAGCCATTGAGCTCCATGTACCCGAAGAGACATTTACTTTTTTTTTTAGGTAGTCTCCATCTGAGGCTTGATTAGCGTTATTCCATTTATCAGTCAATCAGGCACCGTGTTCACTGTCAAAGTGGGCTACAGTGGAGCTCCCACATTGTGCCACTTTATCATACACAAACATACATACGCACATATATAACTCACACAGACAACATACGTATAAATACACATACAGAAACATATTCACTGTATACACTCACGTGTCTATGCACAGCACACACACAAGTCCTTAACTTCACTTACCCATCATGATTTCCAACACTGATAGCAGGATAATACAAGAACAACGCTGATGTAATGCGATCGATTTTAGCTTGCACAAAACCAAGAAACGCCATGAGAACGAAACATTTCTATGGGACGAAAAGGATGAAATGGGGTAAAAAATAATTGAGAAAGAAAGAATAGAATAAAGGGGAACGACAAGATTTCATCAATACAACTATCAGCTGAGTGGCCTAACACATTTTATTTCCAAAAGTTGAATGGGGGAAAACAGGAGAGATAAGGAAAAAGAATAGAAGCCATGGAATGTAGGGCGGTATAAAACATGCATCGTGTTAAAACAAATAAATACTGCAGATCATACAGTCAACAGTAATTGGTGACCCAACGGCATGCGGTGTTAGAGGACGTCGATGATGACGATGATGATGACAAATAACACATAAGCAGGTGAGGAAATGTAAAACAAGGATCCATAACCACACCTTCAGGCTGCTGGGCAAATAGTGCTATAGTCCGTTCCAAAAGTACTGCCCTTTAAAAATCTGTATCTCAAGAACGGTTAGGTGTACGTTATTTAAATTTAATATACAGCCTATGTCGGCGTCTGTGGCTTAGGCGTTGCGAACGTGCTTCGTAATGCCGGGGTGCCGGGTTCGATCACAGCTGCGGGTCCTGCGCCTTGCGTTGGTTCTGACAGTGGTATCAAGAAGATGACCGTCCAGAGCAATGACAAACTACTGGACGTAAAGTTACCTAGAAAAACCACAACAGCCAAAACATGCTGGTGTTGGTTATGCAACGTCCTGTAAAGGATATGCAACTAAAAAAAAAGGATATGATGTTATTTATACAGTGTAGAAACCATATACACAATGGAACTGAATGGTCATAGACCACGAGGTAGACCAGACAGACCTACAAACTCTTGGTCTCATTAACTGGAAAGAGAAGGCCAACCAGAGAGATGAGATGAGGCGGGTGACATCTGCAGCAATGAACCTCAAGGGCTCGGAACGCTGAAGAAGGAGAAGGTACAGCATATAAATCACGTCCGTGTAAGAATGTATTTTTTTTTTTTTTTACACGTGAACAATCATCTAGTTTTGATTTTTCCTTATTTGCAGTATATAAAAAAGAAAGACACATCGATTCAAATGAAAAAAAATCAACATGCTCACAGTAACTTGAATAAACTGAGTGACGGGCACTATTCACACCAATGTGTACTGGTACATTTAGTTCAATAAGAGACGCAGTGGTTTAGAGGCTAGGCGCTCGCCTGCGGATAGGAAGGTCGTGGGTTCGGTTCCTGACGGGGGCCTGACTTTTTTTTCAAAAAATTTACCTTAGCTCTCAGGTCGACCCAGCCTTGAGTAGGCACCACGGGTTGTCATGGGAAGTAAAGGCGGCCAGCGCGATGTTGATCACATCATCCACCAAGTGCCGTTCGGTCTTTAAAAAATAGGTCTAGCCCTATATACCCTGTACGCCTGAAGGGCAAAGAAAAGGGTTCTTTACTTTTTTTTTACTTGACTAAATGTTGTTGAATAGCCCTGGTGTCGATTCTTATTGATGAATGATGTTGTCTGACTGATGTTTTACCCCACCAGGGCATCACACCAAGCGATAAACACATCACACCAAGCGATAAACACATCACACCAAGTGATAAACACATCACACCAAGCGATAAACACATCACACCAAGCGATAAACACATCACACCAAGCGATAAACACATCACACCAAGCGATAAACACATCACACCAAGCGATAAACACATCACACAAAGCGATAAACACATCACCCCAAGCGATAAACACATCACCCCAAGCGATAAACACATCACACCAAGCGATAAACACATCACCCCAAGCGATAAACACATCATCCCAAGCGATAAACACATCACACCAAGCGATAAACACATCACACCAAGCGATAAACACATCACACCAAGCGACAAACACATCACACCAAGCGATAAACACATCACACCAAGCGATAAACACATCACACCAAGCGATAAACACATCACACCAAGCGATAAACACATCAAACCAAGCGATAAACACATCACACCAAGCGATAAACACATCACACCAAGCGATAAACACATCACACCAAGCGATAAACACATCACACCAAGCGATAAACACAGCACACCAAGCGATAAACACATCAAACCAAGCGATAATCACATCACACCAAGCGATAAACACATCACACCAAGCGATAAACACATCACACCAAGGGATAATCACCAGGTGATACAAAGTGCCACCATTCGGGTGGGCACAGGTCCAAGAAAACCCGTTAAACCCACAAGTTGGGTTACATTAGGCCCCCCGGCAACAGCCACGGTGGGGGCTTCAACAAAATGACAACAAAACATTGAGCCCCACATAAGAACTGATGATTACTAATGATGTGGTCAACTTTTTTCCCCGGTACATTTCCATAAAGAGTTAAAAAATAAATTATGTTTCAGTTTCCTCAAAGTTTGCTTCAATTAAACGGCACAAAAATGTACATCGATGTACATTATATTGGCATCCATTCAAGGTTCCTGATAGGTGGATATTAGCACAAGATCAACTTTTTATTCTCTCTTTCTCACTGTATATTTTCTCGTTTGTATTAAAACAGAAATGAATTATTTCCCTTCGCTAGCAGATCTATCATGAGAAGATGGGATTGCGATTTATCTTATGTCTTTTTGTGAATGTGAAATGTGTGTTGAATGAACTGCTTCGATTGCTCTTCATGCATCCTACAAGGCAAAAGCGTCACGTATAATTATGTGCGATAGCTGGGTGGCTAGCAGGGACGAAGACACAACGAAAACATTGAGGGTGTTTGGAACTGTCCACTCCTAATACAATTTCTAAGGAGGGCCTATCGAAGCAATGTTTGTGTGTAAAAATAATAATAAACAGAGAGCAATTTTTATATACGACTAAAAGTACACGAGACAGAAGGTTGAGGATAGACATGACTACCAACACCACACGGCATGGACTTTAAGAAGAAGAATGTTATACAGCGGTAACCGAGACAGAGATCGACTGTACATAAGATGCTAAATTTAACACAATATGTGACTAGAAAGCTCAATGGAGTCAATGGAAAAGACGCACACACACACCTCCAAAATTTCGACCAAAGTCTTTATCAACAGAGTACTAAATATACAGCACAGACTGTGACTAGAGAACTCAGCGGGCAAGACAACAGGGCTAATAAAAACCAAAGTCAACGTGAAAACAAGAAGATGAACCGCGAAAATATTGGAGGTACTAACAAGTACTACTGTATATATGAGGCGAACAAAATGACTCGTTCTAGCGATCTCTTCCTTTCTTAAAGATGCAAGGTATTCCAGGAGTGGAGACAATAATATTAATAATAATGATAATAATAATAAGGATAGTATAGTACCAAGCGGCCACACAGTGACCTTATTTATGGTAGCAAAAGTGACAGCCTGCCTGCCTGCCTGCCTGCCTAGCAGGTAGTTATCAGTTCAAATCCCCCGCCCACCACCCCCCCCCCCCCCCTCATCGCGACTAGTGTTTAAAACTATTATTACCAGTAAGTCGCAAATATTAATCAACTTGTTGTTAGTTGCGTATCCTTTACAGGACGTTGCAGAACCAACCCCAACAGCCCCTGACTGTTCTGTGGATTTTCTAGGCAAATTTACGTCCAGTAGTTTGATTAATCAACTACTGCCTGCAAAAATAGATTACTGAAGTGGGGTTGAACGTTACTTACGTACTCACTCACTCACTCACTCACTCACTCACTCACTCACTCACTCACTCACTCACTCACTCACTCACTCACTCACTCACTCACTCACTCACTCACTCACTCACTCACTCACTGACTCACTCACTGACTCACTCACTCACTGACTCACTGACTGACTGACTGACTGACTCACTCACTCACTCACTCACTCACTCACTCACTCACTCACTCACTCACTCACTCACTCACTCACTCACTCACTCACTCACTCACTCACTCACTCACTCACTCACTCACTCACTCACTCACTCACTCACTCACTCAATGTAATATGACAAAAACGTTCGACGCAGAGCTTAGGGACAGAGCTAAATATATTCAGCGAATGCGGAGATGAGGCGGTAAACGCAGCCGCTGGGGGGGGGGGGGATGAATGGAGGGGTGGGGAGCTCTCTTTGAAAGATAAAAACCCACAGAAAAAAAAATCTTTTGCGGACAATTAGCTGGAGAGAGGGAAGAGAAAGAGACACACAAAATACGCTGCATAGGATGACAAATGACGGGAGATCTTGTACTCTAGTACCTATACACAAATAGGGGAGTAAAGAGGAGGAGGAGGAGGGAGAGGAGGAAAAGAAAAAGAAAAGAAGAAGAAGAAGAAAAAAAAGAAGAAGAAAAAGAAAAAGAAAAAGAAAAAGAAGAAGAAGAAGAGAAGAAGAAGAAGAAGAAGAAGAAGAAGAAGAAGAAGAAGAAGAAGAAGAAGAAGAAGAAGAAGAAGAAGAAGAAGAAGAAGAAGAAGAAGAAGAAGAAGAAGAAGAAGAAGAAGAAGAAGAAGAAGAAGAAGAAGAAAAAAGAAGAAGAAGAAGAATTAAAAACAACAACAAGAAACCGAAAAGGAAGAAGAAGACCATTAAAAAGACCGAAAACAAAGAAGAAAAAAAAAATTTAAAAAAGAAAGAAGGGGCAGAAGAAGCTGACTGTGATTTCAGCAAACTGAAGTTATTCTGTAGAAGCCGTTGTTTCATACCGACTGAGACAAAACAGAATTATTCGGACAGAGGCATCAAAAAAGTTGGGATGTTACAGCAAGAACAAGTAACATTCGGAAGAGGTTGCCCTTGGAGATAAGGATGCAAAACTTTGTACACACAAACACGCGCTCACATAGACGGGTCCACACGCATATACATACTTACACACATACAGAATCGAGGGAGAGAAAAATCGTCATTAGAAATTGAACAAAAGTCAAGTTTGTGACAGGTGAGTGGGATAACGAAGGAGTGTGAACTATCATCATCAAGTGCATTGCCAGCTGGCTTATGCGTTCAGGCATCTCCGCCGATCTCGGTCTTTGATATTCTGGATCAATTCCCTTGATGATATTCCTCCATGTCATCTATAATCTTTTCTCGTAGTCTGCCTCTGCCTCGTCCACCGGTGATCTTTCAGTGAAAGAACCAGTGAAACATCAGTCTATCACCTCTTTCATTACTAAGGACACCTGCATACCCTGGGACAAATATGAAAGTAACTGCACACACAGAAGAGTTTTGCAATGACTCAATCCACTGTCTGCGTAACCAGCCTGACTCGACACGCCGGATCATGCTCAAAGAATCACTCAGCACACACACGCGGGAATAGTCCTGTGATTTTAGCCACATATAAGCTTGTGTCACCGCGATCATGACCACCGTCAACTGCCAGTGTTGCCTTAATAGCTTTTTTTGACGCCAGATTCCACAAATTTGGCATATTTGAAATTGAACTGGCATAAGATAATGAACTAGCATATTTTGGCATATTTGAGTTTTTCTTGGCTTTTCTCATCAAGATGTGCTCACATTTTCTTCATGGTACATCCTTTAGAAACACGCAGATTTACCAAAAGCAATGTAGACCTACAGTTTACATCTTTATTTCAGTTTGACTTTGTTGTGATGTCCTGGTACGGACTAACGGAGACTCGCGCCGTTTCTTATTGTATTTGTTGTCTTCCTAAACGGATCGTAACTTTGATAAACCAAGGCGCTCAGTAATTTATGTTGATCTACAAGAATAAATGTAGTATATAAAACTAAAACCAACCACTGATACCAAGTGATTCAGACTGTTCAGAAACTACTTGCGGACAGAAAATAGAGAGGATATAGGCCTAGTTCTATATGAGATAGATTTTATTACTTTTACTAATGCCCACATCATCCAAAAAAAAAAAAAAAAAAACAACAACAACAACAACAACAACAATAGAAAGCCTCTTATAGCATCGCAAGTGTAATTGTAACTGGAATAAAACATACTTACGGCTCAAAAGATCTTCAGACGGATCAGAGGCAGCATATTGCAAACTGTGTCAGCGCACTGTTGCACGATGAATTAGTAACATATAAAATCATCAAAAATCCGAAAAACGCAGGATGAAAACTCCGTCAAAAAGCCAGTCTCAGCTTATTACCACAAGCATTGACCCTTAGTGATAAAGTTAAAGGCAGCAGAGTTACAACTTGCTGTAGGCATGACCTGTCATTGTGCAATATGCACAATTGATCATCTAAGTGAAATCGTGAGAGCCCATGGTCGAACGAGTATATTAGAGCGCATACAGTTGCATAGAACTAAATGTTCATGCCTAACAAAAAGTATTATATCGCTTGCACTTAAGGATGACCTTACTGATGATTTTCGGAACAAGAAATATGCCATGATTATAGATGATTTGCAAAGACTTCATCCGATCTGAGAAAATGCTTAAAGATCTTACACATGAAAAGGTTTACGCTGTATTTTCACTTGTTCCAGTGAGGATTACAGTGAGAATTCAATCTAGAGCTTTTGATATGAAGTGAATATAATGTTACATTTTCTTTGCATTTTCTGGCATATTTTGGGTAATGGTTTGGCATAAAATGAAGTTTTTTAAATCTGACAACCCTGTCTACTGCTGGTAGTCATGGAGAAGGAACCGCTGGTTTTTTGAACTAGTCTGCTTGATGAGCGATCTGTAAATGTCTATGCACTCTTATGTCCTCGTATAACCGACCCGTCTGTGATGATCGCCACATCTGTGTCATCTGACTTGTCTCTGATAAGCGCGCATACCTCGGCATTGACAGCAGCTGGATTCTGCTCCCGACATATCATATCAAGCGTCACGACACGGGATAATGTGAGATTAGCTGCTTTAGACGCCGGTATCCATTTCTCAGCTGGATGATGTCATCTTCTGCCCTACCCAGCCATGATTTTCCCCTTGTAAGTCTATTGCCCTTTTTCCTGAAGTTTATGTGGTGCTAAGGACGCTTCGAATCTGAGCTTATCTTAAGGAATTGCCGAGCATTCTTGTCTATCAGGCTTGTGTTCTCAGCACTCTGCTTTATGGCAGTGAAACGTGTTCAACATGTGCGCACTATTAGATACTAC